GAGCCGGGAAGCCCCGGAAGAGGAATCCCACGTTCGGGAAGAGCGGCTGCACCAGGCGGACGGGGCAGAAGGCGGAGCCCGAGGGGGTGAAGTGAACCTTGTTCTTGTCCGGGCAGGAAGGCTGGAAAGGCTGGGATGGGCTGGAGCAGCTGAGGGGACACAGAGGGCACGGATTAGGGACAGCAGTTCCCAAGGGAAAGGCTCAGCAGGCACAGGGAGAGCAGGGGATGTGCCAAGAGCAGCTGCTGCTGGGAGCGGGTACCCAGGGGCTGCTGGCCTTGAATCCCACTGATCTGTGGGAGATCCCACTGATTTATAGGAGATCCCACTGATTTGTGGGAGATCCCACTGATCCGTGGGAGATCCCACTGATTTATAGGAGATCCCATTGATTGATTTAGGGGAGAACCATCTCCCCCTCAAGAGGCCTGGGAAGTGCAGGAATCCCGGGATTCTCCCAGCACTGCTCCCTCCAGCTCTGGTCCCCAGGCCCCAAGCAGCCTTTTCCATGGGAGCCTTTTCCCCCATCCCTGCTTTCCCAGGAGCCTCAGCTGCCCCTGCCCAGCATCCCCTGGGATCATGCAGCACTTTTCCAAGGGCTCCCCACACTCACAGGGTCTCCTCGAAGGCTCGGACTCTCTCGCAGCCCTCGGGGGGCTCCCGCTTGAACACGTAGCTGTGGTTGGGACGAGGGGAGGAGGCAAAGGCCAGCACTGGAGAAGGGCTGCTCCCCTCTGGGAGGGAAGGGAAAGAGGATTTGGAATAGTTTTCCAAAGAGGAATCCAACAGGGAACATGTTCTTTCAGACCCCCCAGGGCTGCAGGTTATGGAATGTTCAGGGGGAGAAGAGGCTGAGCTCTGCTCCCTGGAGCAGGGACAGGAGAATGGCTGGAGCTTTGTCAGGGAAGGGTTAGGATGGATATTATGGATTTTGGGAAAAGGTTCTTCCCCCAGAGGGTGGTTGGCACTGCCCAGGCTCCCCAGGGCAGTGGGCACGACCCCGAGGCTGCCAGAGCTCCAGGAGGGTTTGGATAATGCTCTGAGGGATGGGGGGGATTTTGGGGTGTCCTGGGCAGGGCCAGGGGTTGGGCTGAATGATCCCTGTGGGTCCCTCCCAGCTCAGGATATTCCCAAAGCCACATCCCAGCTCTCAGCCTGGAAAGCACCCCCATGGAGGAGGGGAACTCCTGGAGCTGTAACTCCAAATTCCCAGGACTGTCTCCCAGCTTAGCTCCACTCCCAGCCCATCCCACAGCCAGGGAGGAGCAGCCCAGGAGCTCTGACCCCCCTTGGTGTCCCCCAGATTTCCCAGCCCTGTTCCATCTCACCTTTCTCCTTTGGCTCCGGCTGTGCCTCCGAGGGCCTTCCCGGGCTCTGCAGGGATGGGGAGGGGGGCAAGGAGAGGCTGTTCCAGCTGCCACTTCCTGGCTCCAGGGCCAGGGGGGTGTCCAGGGGGGTGTCCAGGGGGTCTGGCTGGGCGGGCGCCGGCGCCCTGTGCCCGTCTGGGACATCCAGGATCTGGGAGGGAGCAAAGGATTAGAGGAGCAGGAAACCCCCTGGCACCTGGGAGAGCTTTGACCTGCAGGGCAGGAACTCTGTGGATCCTCGTGGATCCCTTCCCACTTAGGAGATTCTGTGATTCCATCATAAACCTGGACATGGGGACTTGTCCCCAGGGCTGAGAAACAGAACCAGGCGGAGCTCTAGGAGGGAAGGGTTTCCAGGAGAAGATTCCAGACAGTCCGTGACCTTCACTCACCCTCAGCAGCTCCTCATCTCCCTGTTCCCTCACAAACACCTCCTCCAGCTCCTGGTTCAGCCCTTCCAGGCTCCTGTGCAGGCAGGGGCTGAGCCTCAGGACGGGACATGGAGAAGGGAAGCCCGAGGAAGTGTCCTGCAAGAGTCGGGAATGCCGGGAGTCAGAGCTGGATCTGCACACCCTCAGCTCCCAGGGCTCAGCCAGAGCCCCTGGGCTGGGGAACACTGACAGGACAGTCCTGTGAACTCCCTGAGTGCCGAGGAAATCCTGGGAATGTGCTGGAGAGGAGGAGAAATCCTCCCTCCTCGGGCACGAGAGGCCTGAGGAAAGCACAGCCCAGGAGGTTTGGGGCCCTTCCCAGGGGGGTTTCGCTCTGCCCCTCACTGGGATGGGGGGACAGGGAGCAGGGGGGGTGTGGATGTACCTGGAGTGATCCACGGAGCGTGTGATCCCCTGGGAATGGGCAGCTCTTCTCCCTCTCCTTCCCATTCCTGCCGCTGAGCTTCGTGCGCTGGAGCTGCTGCTTCAGCTTGGCAATCTGGGACACTGGGGATCAGTGTGGGAGCAGGAGACCAGGGACAACAGCCCCAAACAACCCCCCCAAACAACACCTTCCCCAAACCAACGCCCCCAAACCAACGCCTCCTCAAGCCAACACCTCTCCAAACCAACACCCCCAACCCACACCTCTCCAAACCCATCCTCCTCCTCCTCCCCCTCGGCCCCTTTGGCAGTGCCAGAGCAGACACAAACCCAGGAGCAGCAGCTCCAAGGATGGGCCTGGAGTTCTCCCAAGGCCTCGTCCCCCTGTGGGCAGAGCTGTTCCCTGGTGGATCCAGGTTATCCTCCACCCAGAGCGAGGATTCCCTGCTGGACCCACTCCCAGCACCCTGAGCTGCCCCGGAGGGAAGCCACAAATCCCCCTGCAGCTGGATCCCGGGGTCAGGGCTGGGACAAGGGCTGAGGGCTCGTTCCCCAAGCTCTCCTGGCTCCCCCCCTCCCTCCCAGCCCGGGGTCTCCGTTACCTCCCGCCGGTGCTCGGAGCCGCCCCTGGCACTGCCCGGCCCTGCTGCCACCTCGGGCCACGACTGCGGGGTCTGGGGCGAGAAACAGGGCTCAGGACACTCACAGGACACTCACAGGGCTCAGGACAACCACAGGGCTGAGGACAATCACAGGGCTGAGGACAATCACAGGGCAGGGCTTCAGAGGCTGCTCCTGGAGCCTGCAGGCACTGGGATCACCCCCTGCCCTGGGCTGGTCTCCCCTCGTCAACACAACTCAGTAATTGTGGAACTGGGGACTGGGTTGGGCTGGAGGGACCTCAAAGCACAGCCAGGTCCTGCCCCAAGGGCAGGGACACCTTCCACCAGCCTGGCCTTGGACACTGCCAGGGATGGGGCAGCCACAGCTCCTCTGGGAAATCCAGTCCAGCCCCTCCCCACCCTCCAGGGAGGAATTTCTTCCCAATATCCCACCTAACCCTACTCTCAGTTCAAACCCATTCCCTGTGTCCTGTCCCTCCATCCCTTGTCCCAGGTCCCTCTCCAGCTCTCCTGGAGCCCCTTTAGGCCCTGGAAGGGGCCCTGAGGTGTCCCTGGAGCCTTCTGTTCTCCAGGGGAACACCCCCAGCTCTCCCAGGGATCCCTGAAATCACCTCCATGGCCCCAGTGTGCATTTAGGACATTCCCATGTTTATTTGGGCCAGTTTGGCCGGATTTGTGCCTGCTGGGAAACTGGAGCTCATGGACACAGGGCAGGAGAGCTGTCCCAAGGCAGCAGCTCAGTCACCACAGTGAGACAAGGGACACCAACCCACCCCTCTGGGGACACTCCTGCCCTGTGACACAGGGATCACAGGGATCAGGCACTTCCTGCATGGAGACACCGAGGGGAAAAGCCTCCCCCAGCTCTGGGAACACCCAGAGCTCTGGGAACACCCAGCTGGCTGGGAGGCCTCAGTTCCTCAGTTCTGGAGCTCCAGGGTGAACCCAATCCCAGGCTTTGGGCTGCAGATGGAGCACGGAGGGAGCAGCTGCCTCCCCCAGCTCCCAGCCCCCAGCCCCAGGACTGGCAGCTCTCCCTGTGTTCCCAAAAAGCAGCTCCGCTCTGCAATCCATGGAATCAGGGCTGGGAATGTGATCAGCAAAGGGAGTGAACTTCCTTCCCTGCCCTCGGCCCTCTCCGGGCTCGGAGCAGTCCCCAGGCACATCTTACAAAGTTATTTCTATTTCCATATAAAGCCAGTCCTGGAGAGGGAAGAGGCCTCCAACCCAGGCCCAGGGAACTCCAGCTCTGCCCCCTCAGCCGGAGCTGAGCAGCACAAAGGGATAAAAACCCTTCCCAGAACATTCCCGCTGGAATTCCCGCCCGTGTCCGTACCTGGGTGGCTTTGTCCCTGGTGCAGGGGGGGCTGTCCCTGTCCCGGGGCCACTGGCCCAGCAGGTACGAGCCCAGGATGGGATCCAGGGAGCAGGTCCGGCGGGAACGGCCCGGCTGCTCCAGGGCCATGGCACAGGGAACACTGGCTGGGAGAGAGAGAGGGACGTGAGCTTCCAGAGCCACTGGAACACTGCAATAGATGCACTGGAATGATGGGATAATGGCACAGGGAACACTGGCTGGGAGAGAGAGAGGGATGTGAGCTTCCAGAGCCACTGGAACACCAAACAGCTGCACTGGAATGATGGGATACCGGCCCAGGGAACAGTGGCTGGGAGAGAGAGAGGGATGTGAGCTTCCAGAGCCATTGGAACACCACAGCAGCTGCACTGGAATAATGGGATACCGGCCCAGGGACCAGCCCAGGGCACTGCAGGGACACGGGCACACATGGCCTGGTTTGGGGAATCAGGTCCTGCTGCTCCCATCGTGCCCAGGGAATTCCCACCCTCGCACCAGCAGCTCTTCCCTGCCAAGGGAATGGAGAGGGGCTGCTCCCAGAGGTGCTGCTCCCAGTCTGGGTTGGAAAATGAGGAGCGGGAGCCCCACTGGAGCAGGGTGGGCTCAGGGTGAGGGGCACCCTCCACGTGCTCCTCTGCCCCACAAGTGTTCCTGGTTATCCCAGAGGGAGTGTGCACACTGATCCAAGAGACTGTTCCCACTGATCCCAGACTGTTCACACTGATCCCTGAGGGATTGTTCCCACTGATCCCAGATCATTCCCACTGATCCCAGACTGTTCCCACTGACCCCAGGGTTCTCCTCTAAGCTCAGATTTCCCTGCAGCCCTTGGGTGGCTCCACGAAATCCCCCACCAGACATTCCAGTGGATCACCTGGGATTCCTCCCCAGGAATTGGAGCCGCTCCTGAACAGTTTGGGTGGTTTGAGGGAAGCCCTGAGGGCTGGGGAGGAGGAGGAGGAAGAGGAGGAGGAGGCAGCTGGAGTGTCCCTTTCCCAGCCCAGGCTCTCCCAGCCCTCCAGGGAGCCCCAGTTGCCCCTTGGCCACGAGCCCCAGGGTTGGGGCCCTTTTCTGTGCCTGGGCCTCTGGAGCTGCTGGATAACAGGCCCAGCCCTATCTCCAGGAGCCACTTGGCCGCTCCCAAGGCTCTGGAGCAGCCCCAGACCAGAGCAGGAAATGGGGTTAAAAGGGACAAGAGCTCAGTGCTGGAGGTGGAAATTTTCCTTATCCCTCCTCTTTCCCAACCCCGAACTCAGAACTTCCTAAACAGCCTCTCCAGCCCAGCCCAGCATCTGAACCAAGAAAAAAGAGCCTCCAGCAAACTCTTAAACACATCCAGGGCCCCTTTTCCTCAGGAATCCTCCTCGGTGCTGAACCAAAAACAATGCAAGGAGAAAACAAAGTTCCCATTTCTACTTTCCTGACAGTTGTGAAAGTTCCTTCCTTCCCCCCCGGATTTCACAGACCTTTCAGCACCAGAGTGCTCAGAAATGTGGGGACCTGCTGTTCAGCCCTGACACTCGTGGAGTGTGGCCCTGAAGGGCCATCCTAAACTGATCAAGTATCAAATAACACACTTAAATATAATGAAATATAATTTAACCATGATGGGCTGAGCCCTGGCCAGGCAGGGAGGCTTTCCAGGGATTCTGCCATGCCAAGGTGTATCCAGTGGGTCTGGATTTTCAGCTTCCTGGCTCATCACGAGCTTTAAGATTTCATGGAGAAAAAGCTCCTTTCACCCCAAGTGCAAGAGAATTTACACCCAGGGGCAATGATGGGGTAAAACAACCAGCGGGTGGGTGGAGAAAAAGAACAATTCCCACGGGAAGGGGCTTCAGGAAGGAGAAGGAACCTGGAATTTACAGCTGGATGCAAAGGTAACACACACAGCCCTCCTCAGTGCCCTCGGGCTCTGCAGAGGATGGGCTCCAGGTCCCTCTCAGTGTTTGAGCCCAATAATCCCGTGTGTGGAGTGTGAGGAGACAAACCCCATCATCCCAGTTTTGGGCTCAATCCTGCCCAGTTTGTGCTGCAGCTCCCACACACTCCAGGAGCACATGGAAGGGAGGAGAGCAATGGGAACTCCAACCCTTCCAGAGCTGCAAGGAAACCACCGGGATGAGCAAGAGGAAAAATCCAAGCTCCCAGAGCCTGCACAGCGAGGCACAGAGCCAGGAAGGAATGGAGCTCCGGCCACTTTGCCCTGGGAAAGCTGCATGGGATCCATGGAACTCTGGAGCAGGGACAGCCCAGAGCTCCAACAGAGCCCAGGGATGACAGCCCGGCTCCCATTCCTTCGGGATTTCCCCGATTTTCTCCGCACAGCAAAGTAATTGCCCAATTAACAGCAGCTTCACCTCGATTTCGCCGAGAGGGGGAGGCTGGCACTCGAAAGGATTATTTCATTAACTCGTTTCAAGTGTAAATTGAGCAGAAAGCTTTTTAACAGCTCCTCTGATCGATACCAGCCCTGCCAGCGGCAGGAAGGAGGGAGCCTGGAGCAGGGACACTCCGGGAAGGGCCATTCATTCTCCCGGGGGAATTCCCAGCAGAGCAGATTAAACACCCCTGCACCGAGCGAGGGACCAGCACCGGGCAGACACCACCGAATTCAGCGGGAGAAATCTCTCCCCCCGTCCCACAGCTCTGATCTCACGTTTAACCCCAAAAGCGCTTCACTGCTATTTTAATACTCCGTGAGATAACGAGCAGCCAAGCAGCAACCCCGCATCCAAGAGCGGCCCCGGGAACTGCCAAAAGTAACACACACACACAGAGAAAAGCCAAAGACTATTATTAGGCCGCTAAAAAGTTATATTTAAGCATTCCTGGAGCGGTCAGGGAGAGCTCAGAAGTGCAATTAGGGACGAATTACCATCGGGGCAAACCGAATTCCTGCTTTTTATCGAGACGGATCAGCTGCACAAAACACAGGGCCGGGGTTTTCGGGGCTTTTTTGGTGAAACCACCTCGAAACGGGCAACTCCTTGCCAGGGGAGAAGCAGCAGGGGCTCGGTGCCCCCCTCGGGGGTCCCAGCTCATAGAACGGCTCTGCTGGAATGACGTCATTGCCAAATTCTGCTGGGCCCCTGTCCTTGTGCCGGTGAGTCA